ATAATTAGTATGAAACTATAGACTTAGTATTTTGACTTCATAAACATCTAATTTGAACCAGTGCTGCATTTAACATACCACACAAAAATCGACGTTTATCTGTGTTTTTGAATATTTACTTTTACATTAATAAATTGAACAATGCACAGTTCTAATATTTGAATTATAATCTACAGTTTTATACCAAACTTATATATATAAATTCATAAAATAGTAGTTCAATAAAATTTTGAATGCGAGTCAACAAACGAGATGATATGGCCTTTCACCTGTGACCCATATCGAAAGGGTTAACAGGAACTAGCTTGCTCTGTGGTCTCCGCTGATCACACATTGATTACAGGTCGAGTCTTTTACTGCTAAAGTTATATAATGCTTTCGTGAAAGTACTAATGTTCAATGTGAATCCACTGAACTTAGATGGTTTGGGTTGTCTTCAAAGTAACATGGGTCAAAAACAGTAAACGTTGATTCATCTGACTACATAAACTTTCGCAGCAATTCCTGACTCCACCCATCGTGGCCAATGCCCTAAAACAAGTAAAAGAATAGCAAGTAGTCATTATGTAGCCACTTTGATATAGTACCTCAGATAAATGACTAAATATTTTATGAAAGTTATAAACATTCCTGGTCAAATATCTGAAGTTTCAAAATTAATAAGTGTTAATCACAATTATAGTTTCTAAGGTTTGTAGTATACCAACTGTAGCAAACCAATAATATATATATATATATATACATACTGTCTTTTGTCACATTGTGTTGGTTATATTTGTAGGCATGAGGAGAGTTTCTCGAAATTTCAGCTTATGCAACAATACTGATGATACACTAGTGTTTACGTATACACATGTATTGTTGATTATTACACTCGAGAATCTTCTACAACTTTAGTGAATAGGCGTGAATTTCGCAATATAGATTTAACAATATAAGTTATGCACATTTCTAAACATAAATTTAACTTAAACAAACATCGATATTAATATATATATATATGGTAGTAAATCTATCACAACATATTAGTTCTTTGTTCACCCATGTATTACATATGGTCCTTCTATACTTTATAGACATCTTCAGATTTTGTAATGGTATGCTCTATGATTAACTTTCAGCATTAAACTTCTTAGTCCTACAAATGAGATGTGGTGAAGCAATTGGATATTTTTCAGGGAATTGTACAATTGCTTCAGTATTTTTAACATTTAAATATTAAGAAAGAAGCTATAGAAATTTAAGTATTCTGAGTGTGATACACATACATTTAGAAATGTCGTAAATAAGGAAGCCTGTATTACGAAATTCGGTCAAGAACTAGGTGAAGCCCAGTTAGCTGGTTAGTTAGTATTGAGAATCACAAGTTGAGAGTTATAAAAAAATGAAGTTACAGTGAGGACACAGAGAATAATGCTAGTCACAAGCTTGACAGTGATAAGTTATTGATGCCCAGTTAGTAGCACTGTAAAGGCTACTAAAAAATTAATGATAGCATCTCAAATCAGTGCTTTGATGTGAGATATGTTACTCCAGACCAGTGTAGTAGTACAAGTGAAAAGGTAATCAGAGCACTCACCATCACAGCAACCAATTACTTGAGAGTTTTAGTTCTTGTTTTGTATTAGCCCAGGAAGTTGGAAAGATTGATCAATAAAGTGTTAGAACTAGTTATGGGTAGTTAGGAATACTATTTAGAAGGTCGAAAGAATACAGAGAAAATATAGTATAAAAACTAGTATCTGGAACTAAAAATCAGAGAGTTCGCCAGAAAGAATCGAGGTTCTCCAAACAGCTGATAATAGTTCCAAGACAGAATTCTTCAAGCAACTATGAATATGAATGTTTCCAACCTCCAGAAGTATACCAGTCCAACTTTGTTGTAAGTATAGAATTGCTATCTCTTATATTCAATTAATGTAGTTTACTAAAGGAAGTTAATGGTTATACTAGAGAGAAATATTCTATATGTATTGATTAATAGTGTTAGCTGAAGAGTGAAAAATAAAGTTGTTTAGTAGATGTTTAACTATTGATGTTAACAATGTATACTATGTGGAAAGATCTAATAAATATTGCTATAATTTGTTCTAACTGTAAATGACCTTGAGTTAGCAACTTGTGAGTTCCACTTGCTACTTCAATCCTCAATTAAATAAATTTGGTGTAATCGGCAGTATAATCGAAACTCCAACAATTAGCCCTAGCCCTCCAGTGGCACAGTGGTATGTCTACGGACTTACAACACTAGAAACCAGGTTTCAATACACATCGTGGGCAGATCACAGATAGCCCATTATATAGCTTTGTGCATAACTACAAACAACAACAACAATTAGCCCTAAGGGCACTGTCCGTTACAGTGAACAACTTGCAGATAGCCCATTAAATAGCTTTATGCTAAAACAAAAACAGCTTTTTATCCCCCTGTGTGACAGCAGTATGTTTAAGGATCTTACAATGCTAAAATAAGAGGTTCGATTCTCCGGAAAGTACAGTAGATAGAATCCAAATATGACTTTGATCTAAAACAAACTATCATTAAGTGAATTTTCTTCTTACCTTTTAAGTATCACTTTAGCTTTATAAGCCGTCAGATTCACCGCCGAGGGGCATTCTTTAATAGTAATAATTACATTAGCTAAATGTTATGAGCATAGTACAAGAAGTTTTACAATTGACAATTCTACTTCGGCTCTTGATAATATCACTAAGCTGGCCCATTCTCGTCAGTTGTTTTTGTGTTAAGTTCTAAAAACACTGTGATCCGCAAGAGTACCCAACTGCTGACCTAGGACAGAATGGTTATAAAAGCTTTTAGTAGTTTGGCTATTACTTGTAATTAAGACTCTATGTTATTAGTTGTAATTATTATTGTAGAATTTTAGCATCTTTTCTTGGTGAAGTTATTACATGATACAAATTCATCAACCGAGATACTTTCATTCAAAAACACTGAGGCTTTATGACATAATTCAAAGAAATTTGTAAGATTAAAAAAACACCCTAACAATTATTAATTAAATTCCAGCAGTTAATTGGTTTTCTAAAGACTTAAATAGAATAGGCTTAATATTTCTCTTATTATTTTTTATACTGTAGTAAATATTGTCAAATTGCTAAGCCCCCCATTGGCACAGCGATATGTCTGCGGACTTACAACGCCAGAATCCGGGTTTCGATACACGTGGTGGGTAGCTTTGTGCTTAATTACAAATAAACAAAATGCTAAATCAAAATAAGTCCTACCGATAACCCAACTTTTTTGTACAGAAATACTTGTCACTAGGTGGACATTCATCTCGTCTATTAATGAGATAACTGTCAACGTGCTATTTGCTTTACTCGAGTATAAATCAGGGTTTCACTTAGTTCAATTGTAGATTTGAGTGGAACTGTTGAGGTTGAACACTAACTTCTTGTTACTTTCATTAATGTAAGCTCCAATAACTTTATCATTTAATGGATTCATTAGAAGCAAAAGTAGTAGTGCTTGGGTCCCAAGGTAAGGTTTTGACCAAATGATTAATTTTTGTTGGACTACAATAACTAATTATTAATTTAATAACTTTTTATAATATACTGTGTTATACTTATTCAGTTATTGTCACTGTTGCTGTATTACTGTAACTTGTAAGTATAAGTCGAGTTACTACCAGTTAATCATTAATTAAATGTATGCTTTTCGAGGGCAAAACTACACAATGGGGTATATAACTCATTCTTAGCTGTGCTCACAGTGGACATAGAACCCAGCTTTTTAGTTTTACTGAGTTTTAGCGTTATAACTTCAAAGTTCAAATTCAACTTACAAATACAAGCCTTGGAGCTTTCTGTTGAGCCACCGTGGGCTAGTGTTACTATTAGTATTAATGTTGCTACTACTACTACCAGTACTAGTAGTATTACTGTTAATATTGTTATTCTCACTTGTTAAGTTATTGTCGGAAAACTGTAGTACATCGTTACTCAATCGGGTACTGTATGTGACAGAGTGTGTGATTCTGTAATTTTACAACTTAAGCCTTTAATTTTGTTAACACATGACATTGTTTAATTGCTATTTATTACTGTACATGAATTATGCTAAACACGGGTCAAGACTGCTCATTGTGTACTTGTACATACCTCACAATCTGAGTAATCCTTTGATGTTAACCATTTGCTAATTATTTGTCAGAATATACTGTATGATATGCCATCTCATGTTGTTAATAAGTTACATTTAATTGCTGTGTTAAACTTAAAGGGCAAGTAAAACTTGAAGGAGGTGCTTTAATAACAGCAGATACTTTCATATATGCATCATTTGGTTACACATTTTTATTTTTACTGTATTTTTGCAAAAGAATTAATATTGTGTTCGTACCAGTTTTTTTGTTCAAAAATTGTAAGACACAGTGATGGGATTTCTTAATGATAGTGTTTTAAGAAGTATACTATATACATACTTTCTCTCTGCTTTGCATGTATTTCTGAGAATGCATTAGTATTGAGTATAGTAATCATTGTATATGTTTCAGACATAGTGTACAAACTTTTTGAGGCCACCATTTTAATAATATTGATTTGCATTACAGTAAAATTTTTTTAAGAGTATTATACAAAATATAAAATGTTATACAAAGTATGAACTCATAGAAAAAAAAAAGAAAAAAAAAAGAGCAGGATTGAGGTGTAATTAAAAAAATTCTTAGTTATTTGTAGCTGTGATGAAAAACAGAAAGTACATGTGAGATTACTGTTTTTGTTAATTAAAGGCTGCAATTGGTCATGGGTGCAATATATCTTTTTATTAACATTTTTCTGCACAGTTATCAGAATTTTTTTATTGTCAGCAAAAATACAAAAAGAAACGTATATGGACATTATTTAGATAACAGTAAACAAAATAGGCTCACATCATTACTGTTTTAAATGCAATTTCTTATCCATAAATTTCTAATTTGAAGTACATAAATTCTGTTTTTAATAGCAAGTACAGTTTTAAAAGAAGTTTTGAGCTCTGTATATCTACAGCTATAACAAAGAAAAAGGTAGAAAAGCATCAAGAATTCTAGTTTTGTTTTAACAGAACAAATTGTGGATAACAAAGGACTACCTTTGGGAAAAGTACAAATTTAACACCCCACCCATTATTTTTAAGGAAATTGTCAATTGAAAATGATAACTTATTCCATAAACCAATCAAACTGTTAGAAAGATAGAACCTTCTTAACTGTTTGTCTGTTTTTCCAAATCTTAAACTTGTCTTCTTGTTTTATTATCTTCAGACTGTAGCATGTCAGAAGCCTTCATTATTTCATTCCCCTGGATAACTTTGGTAACTATAATAAGATTACCTTTTACCTTTCTTTTATCATTACAAAAAAGTTAAGATCTTAACCTATCCATATAAAATAACCTTTCAATCACCAGAATTATCCTAGTAGTTCTAATCTGAATTCTTTCCAGTAAGTCCATATCCTTTTTTAGATAAGGAGACCAAAGCTTTACACAATATTTTAAGTTAGCACTTTAATTTACTAATGTACACATCTTCCAGTAATGGGAAAAGATTTTTTTTTTCATGGACTTTAAAACAGGTAATTGTTTCACTCTAGGTTTCTCTTAGAGCTAAAGCTCTGAGCATTTTAAGCACTGAGTATTTATACCACTCACTGGAAAAAGTAATTGTTGAACATTTCAGTCACACTAAGAGCTGCTCAACAGTAACATACAGTAAATATACATTTTTATTCTTTAACTTTAGTCACATTTTGAAATATGAATGATAGTGAAATTAATTCCTAACAATTTAGTGTAGCATATGCTACTTTGGAATAAAATTTGGCATCAACATTATTCATGTCTGTTCTCCCATCATTTTAAAAAGCGAATGTTGAGCTTTGCCTGCATGCGTAGCTCTTCAAACTGGAGATATATGCAAGTTCAGACAGACACTATGGTTTGCAATATAAGAACCATTTACATATTTATATGATTATGCTTTCAACAGCTACCAAATAATAATAGAAGCAACAATATTTCAACACTTACTGTAAGGTAAATGCTCTTTTTTTTGAAAATTAAATACTTGGCTAACACTTGTTATTTTTATTTCAATCCAATATTTAATAACTTTTTCTTTTAACCTTGTACAAGTACTTATAAACAACACTAATTTAGGCCTAATGATCCGAGTAGTAAGTCTAATATTGTAATGTTAAGTTTGCTCTATCTGCAGTAATAAAATTTACAAATGTTCAGTCCTAAACAATCTAGCCAAAATATGCTAAAATAACTGCTATAAAGTTTAGTAATATAAAATAATACTTATTTTCTCTAGATGTATATATCTTTAAGTGTTTGTTACTTTTGTGTCTTACAGGTTAAAGTATTCTGCCCATACTGTTAAAATGTCCTGCATTTGAATGGACAAGGCATTGATTGGAGTACTGTAGTTGTACAGTTTTTTGTTTCTTTGCTTCATGATGGATATAAACATCTTGGAAAAAGGACAGACAAAGACTGAAAACGATTCTTAGTTTAAGTAATTTAAGATGCAAGGAGATAGGTTTAAAGATTTGAATTTGTTCTCTCTGAAACATACTGTCATTTTGATTTATAAGACTTGTATAAGTTCACTCATTGCTTATGATTTTATAGTTACCCTATCATTGCATGACTGTTCCATAAACTGTACCTACAAGAAAATTGTGCTATTTATTTCACTTTCTCCTTCTGAAGTACACCCCTCCATCTATGTTCACTAAAATCTTTGAACTTCCAACTGTTTAAAGCATTTTCCTTCTTATAAAAGATGTTATTCACCTTATGCCTTGCATTAATAACAGATAGGTAAACAATGATTTATAAGCACAAGGAAGAGTTTTATTGATGGTGGAACTTACTACATGTTTGAACAAAACATTGGTCTGTCTTCTTCAGGTATGATCTGTACTAAGCAATACAGGGTTTATATATAGTTACAAAGATAGAAGATACAAGGATTAGATCTGAAAGAGTGTGTCAGCAGGCGACAGGATATAGGTAAAGGTCATGTCTGATTAAGTGTATGAGTGGTGAAATATGGATCTTGAAATATGGTGCCAAATATGGATCTTGTTTCTAGGGTGAATATCATAGTTTAGTGAGAGATCCTTTGCTTTTATGATTTTTGTAGTTTCTAAACAATCTCGTTCTTTTTTTTTAGTTTGGAGTTGGTGTACAAGAGTTTCATCCCAAAGTATTTTGTGACCTATTTCAAATTATTGATATGTTAAAGCAGATATCTGAAATTTGTCTATGTGTATGTTTATCCTATGTATGTCTTTACACATTCACATGGGACATTATATGTGCCTTGCTTTTGTTCCTTTATTAGGGATTCTTTTGGGTTAGGTAGTAAGGTGTTAATCTTATATGAAGGTTTGGATATTTTTTTACATTAATGCTCAAATTATTAAATAGGTTAGTAATTTCATTGGCAGTTTCTGGCATGAAATGGAATGAAACAAATTTGCTATGTTTTTATGTTGTTCATAGGTGAAAGGTTAAAGTTGACATTATTTTTTACAGTTTTGGAGTTTGATATAAGCCCTATCTATGATGTTGAGGTTTAAGCCTCTAGATGTTCCACCATCACTAAAACTCTTCCTTACACTTATGAATCACTGTTTACCTACCTATTATTATATTAGCATAACATGCTTCCTTACTCATGTAATGCCTTGCATTCTTACCTTTTCTTCCTTTTGCATTATACTCACAGATATTTAAAGAAACAAATTTTTCATGCTTCTTTTTAGCTACTCATGTACAGCACAAGGAAAAACTCTAATTTTAATATCATTGGTTCCTACTCGGGGTGTATATCTCATCATAGTAGTCAATACGACATGTCTAGATACAGAAGTTTTACCAAGGGTTTGTTACAAAGTTTGACAGGCTTGTCTGTAGTTTATTATCTATATTATCAACATTGTCTTATGTAAGTACTTCACACTTGAAAGTGCTTTTTCAAATTCTTAGGTTCAATCAACTAAGTGGCAGCTGGTAAGAGAAGTAAAGTAAAAAAAGTTAATACATGTATCTATTTTGTTATTGTTGAATTATGTTACTTTGCATGTAATGTTCTTGATAAAAGAAATGAAGACATGTAGTACTTAATACTGAAAGCTTGCTAAATCTTGTGAAGATACAGAAATCATATTGGATGATGTATTGATACAATCATATCACGGCTTCACGTATCATATTGCTATGTCGCCACACTATTAGTTTCTATCCAAATTATCTACTAGGTAATGATCGTGATGACTTAATTTGAAGCAAAGAAGCATCAGAGGCAACTTTATTCAGAAAGTGTTAGGGGCTTGAACAGCCTTTCTGTGGATTATGTTTGAGTGTTTAAATGGACAGATGAGAAAATTGAATAATAAATTTAAGTTTTAAAAACAAATATGTATTCAAATGTGCCCTTTAACAAAAGTATTTTGGTTAGATCTGTTAACTTTTTGAATGTTTGCCTGATAAATTGTATACACATACTTGCAGGACATAAACAGGAAGCCCTACACTTCATATGGATTTTTTTATTTGTTTTCAGTGTTTTGTATGTGAGAGATGTCAGTAATGGGTTGAGTAGCTTTCTGTTATGGCCATGGTACAGGAATTTCAGAAACTGCCTCAGAAAGTGTTCAGTGTTGTTTGCTATCTCATCAGCATATTAAACCTGTCTTTAAATGAAGGTACTGTAAAGATCATTTGTTCTTGACAGTATTCTTTCATCTTGCATACTGACATGCATTACCTTTAAGTCACCAAGTTCATACTGGTGAAATGGAGGAAAAGGAGAGCAACAAAAACATTGCTAGTTTGCAAGAAAATTGATTCAGGGATGCAGTATAGCAAGGTTTTAAAACATGCTGTTCCATGTCCATACTTTACATAGAAAGTATGTACCATGCCCATACTTTTCTATGTAAAACTTATGATTTCCTTATGCCTCTCATGTAATTTTATTTCTCCCTGGAAAAAGTTATCTTTTATGATATAATAATTTTAAATATGGAATTTTCTTTGTTATCAGCACATGAAAATTATTGTTTTATGAATGGCCAAAATTTCCAAAAATTTGAACTTGATTGGGACTCCAAAAGATCTTGAATAGTGGGCAGGTACCAGAGGATTGGAAGTTAGCTAATTAACTCCTATTTTGAAGTGAGGTGATAAAAATTGTCCCAGTAATTATAGACCCATTAGTCTTAGATCGGTTGTGGGAAACATTTTGGAAAGTTTGTTAAAATATGTTTTGCAAAGTCATTTAACAAAATTTAGAATTTTATTGGATAGTCAACATGATTTCACTAAGGGAAAATCTTGCTTTACAAATCTTTTAACATTCTTTGAAAAGTTACTGCTTATGTAGATGAGGGTAATGGTATAGATTTGGTGTATCTGGATGGCACATAAAAAGCTTGTAAAAAAATTTGCTCTGTAGTCGTGGGAGATAAATTAGCAAATTGGATTAATGTCACAAGTGGGATACCTTAGGACTCAATCTTAGGAACTTTGCTCTTTTTGATTTACATCAATGATGTAGATGAAGGGATAGCCAATAAATTATTTAAATTTGCAAATGATATTAAGGTTTTGGATGTTGCTAGCTGTGAAGAGGATGCTGCTAATTTACAAAAGGATTTAGATCATTTAGTGAGTTGGGCAAATAAATGGCAGACGGTTTTTAATTATAGTAAACTCAAGGTAGTGCATGTGGGTTATCATAATTTGAATTATAAGTATAATTTGGATGGGAATAACCTTAATTGTATTATGAAGGAAATATTCCAAAGGCCAACCTCCTGTTAGAAAAATAAAACTATCTTAGCTCAAGATGAATCCTACGCTGCAAAAATTTATACATGTGTCCTCTAGTCCTACTATTTTCACTCTTAAGTACGAAAAAAGATGATACATCAACACTGTCAATTCCCTTTACAATCTTAAACACCTCAATCAGATCTCCCTACCACTTCTATTTTCAAGAGAAACCAGTTTGAGAGATTTCAACTTCTCCTCATATGACAACATACTCCGTCCCAAGCACCATTCTAGAAACCCTTCTCTGAACCATTTCCAACAATTCAATGTCTTTCTTAAGGTAAGGAGCCCAAGAATGAACACAACATCCCAAATGTAGCCTAACCAGTGACCTATGCAATGAAAGTATAACCTTATTAGACTTGTATTCAATATTTCTGTAGATACTACCTAAAATCCTATTTGCTCTGCCACTAGCAACAGCACACTGCTTGAATGGCTTTAGAGACTGATCAACTATTACACCAAGATCCAATGCAGAAAATCAGAAAATGTTTCGGTGAGAAATTTTTAGAAGTTCACGAGGATCCAGAATACACATTGTCTGAAACGATTAAGAACTGTTTCTGAAGACGTAAGTTTATAAGATTAAAATATATCAATGTGTTAGTAATAAATTAAACAACTAACTCTAAATTTGAACAACTTACATTAAAGAGTGTATAAACATTATTTTTACAACATTTGAAGATGGTTGTAGTTTCAAGTATCGTGATGTGTTGTATAACGGTTAGACGTATCACGTATGGTAAGTTTAACTGAAAGATACTGTCACAATCAAATACGTGTTGTCAGTATTTTTTTATTAATTACCATAGTATTAGTTAATTATTACTTAACGTGTTTAATTTTGTTTTGATAATCATTTCGTTTGCGTGGTATACTAGATTGACGTTTTAATGGTTCTTTTATTTTCCAAATTTGTTAATGTTATGAAAATATGTGGTTATTTATTAAGGTTGTATTTTAATTCAGATTTTTAATTTTAACATTCTTTTTTTAAAATAAAGCCCAAAATACATTTAATAGAAATCCGCATTTTCTTACATAGATTAATAAAGCTCCCTAAATGTGGAATATTATGACTAAAAGTCAACATTTCCCTAGGCCCGAGACGTTCTATTCCTTCACTTTTAGTCGTGTATCTCTTACAAATTGTTTAATAATTAAAAAGACATGGATATATAAGAATCATAATAAAATTATAGAAAATCAAAGTGTATAGAGAGATTGATGTTTCCCATAGCAACCAATCAGAATAGTAATTATATGGTAATTTTATGTAGAATGACACAGGCAATCCTCGTTATAAAGCTTTAGGTACACTACACTTTAGAATAATAATCCTAAGGCAATGAACGTTGTACGTTTATTATACACCAATGTCCTGTTTATGTTCTATACATTTGTAACTAGATATATAGCAACACTTTGTATTATGAAATGAAATACGACATCATTGAAAAAACATTGACCTGTATATGTATAGAATCTGAAGTCAAGTAAAACACAAATATTTGAAGATATATTTTATTTTATCCGAAATTAAAAACTAACTGATATGATATGCATTTTAAAACTTTTCATTTTCATGACTATTAAGCTAAGATATGTGAGTTTATACAATCCAAAGGTAACAAAGTTTTGTCTTTATTCTAGAGCGTTGATTACTTTGGTATTAAATAAATTTATTAGTGTACTGAATGAAATGTTATTGGGTTTGCTTTATGTGGATTGACATTAATATTTAATTATTTTAATATTTACAGTTTCAACGGATCACTTAACATCTGATGAGGACCAGCATCTACATATTACCTATAATATAATAATCTGAATCTGTCGTGGTTTCCTTCTTTTTTTGAATTATGTTTAACTCTCAAATACCTTTATCTCGAAAATAAAACTATTTAAAAGCAACAACACTGTTGAATTTGTAGTTTTTTATTAAATATACGTTGTCTTTTCAGTGTCTTGCTTAAAGAAAGAAAATCTGGTCTTTCCTATTTCTACTAAATAAAAACGTCTCCTAAATTAGTGTTACGTAAAACATTTCAATGAAGGGGGGAAAAAGACTTCTGGAAATTATGTGTTGATTATTCTAGATAATTCTTTATCTAGAAAATAAAACTTTCATAAAGCAACAGAAGTGTTTAATTTCTAGTGGATTACTAAATATGGTTTTTAAGTTGTGGTGGAACTAAGAATACAATGTGATTTTGATCATCTATTTAAATATATGTTATTGTTGTTTTTTCTTTTTGTTTTTACCACCTTCTTTAGAGAACAAAAACTACATTCTTTCTTTTTCTTTTGGTAAATTAAAAAAGTAAATTATTCATACACAAAACATTTCATTGAGTAAAACAGTCGTTACTTTCAAGTGTTAAACTGTGAAAATCGGGCATTTGAAAGTTACATACGTGTTTAAAGGACTTGATAATTCGTAATTAGAGTTTTTTCACTATTTCTTTTTCATTAATGCGTTTTAGAAACATTCTTCACATATCAATTTACCTAGGCTATAATGATCACTTGCTACTGAAGCATTTATTGTTAAAGGCTAGACTATTCAACGGGCTATCTATGCTCTGTTGCCCGTGGGCAGTGAAACATGATTTTGCGATGTAGAAGTAGTTCAAACTTATAGTTAGAATGATTACAAATAAACACATCCTTGAAATTCATACTAAATAAGTTGCTGTTCTCGGAAATACATATATCAACGTTGCGAAAATATACAAAAGTCTAAAGTAAGCTTAAATAATTTTAGAAAATTATCTGTTGTTTTATATGTATAAAATCTATTAAAGTTGAAACTTATAGGTGCACTGTTCGTTAAAAAATGGTTTTTATAAAATGATTGTAGAAAGTTTTGAATCATTCGTATCTTCTTCAATTTTTTAAAAAATCTTTTAAAATAAAAGTCGTCATTACCCGTGCAGCGACAAACAAATTTGAACTTATTAAAGAAAAAGATTTTTTATCAATTTGAAAATAAGAAATACAAACGAACGAATATTTAAATATAATCATATATTTGATATGATTGTGTCTACATGCTGATATCTCTGTCATGTTCGTTTATCCCATGTGTAGCAAAAAGTATTTTAAGTTGAAAATATCAAATTTACCTAAAAAAACAATATGTGCTGCCATCTAGGTTTCAAAATATTGGTACGTTAAGAAATATTTTTAACTTTCAATTTCAAATTGAAAAACAAGAATTTGTAAATTTCACACTCATTATTAACGTTCTTTAAAACACCAGTTGATTTTTTGCGATTCTTTGTTAGTCTGGGAAGTACTTAAATTTCTGGCTTTTCATTTATAAATTTATTTATTTACTATCTTTCTCTGTACAAAAAAGACAAATAATTAATTTACGATAAAACATTCGAAGCCAACCCCATAGATAAATAAGATATAATGTTTTTTAATATATTACTATGGGAGAAACATAAAATGTATTTGTTTAAAGCTTTGAAGTGAATAATAGTTCTAAGATAGATATATATATCACATATATCCTATAGTGTACTGGGTGACTATAAAGTTACTTCTTGCATTTGGTTCATTATAACACATATCTTAGTATAATTATGTATACATGAACATGGAGTCAAGTGATACACGTTTTCAGATTCTTTTAACCCACTTTTAATTAGCCAGCTAAAGAAAACAAAGATTTCGAAAATTCCAGTTTTCCTCTTGAAGTCTCTTCTGTCTCTTTTATTCTTTTAAAATGAGACTTCTGCTGATCTTGGACACATTTTTAGTCATACAATATTATAAATATACCTTATGTTCATTTCAAGTACAGCTTATATTTCAATTTTAGTAGTTCATTTTGCATATTTTTCGGTTTAAAGTTGTTCGTCTTATTTTAAACTACATATCCAACCTATTAGTCAGTAGTAAGAATGCAGACTTATAACGTTAAAATTCGATGTTCAACTTGCCGCAGTTTTGAGCTCAACAACAAACCACAAACAATCAATCATCCAGTCTTCTGTTTGTAACTCATTAAGAAATTATTTGTTATTATTAAACTTTAGGTGTTCTTTCATTCCACGTGAAACAAGGCAATCCATTTGTCCTTCCATACTAGAACCCTGGATCATCATTATTGTGAAGATCAGGTAACTGTGAGCTATGTCTATTTTTGTAACATATACTTTTATATTGCTGTAACTATACCCAGCTTGGTAATATATCCGATCTAGATCAATTCTAAATAGGATTAGAATTATATAATTATTGTTTTATTTTATAAACCTGAAATTACTTTAAACAATTTGTTTAGATGAATACATATCTGTAATACACGTAAAGTGCAATTACCGGTATCTTCTCCTGCTTTAAGCTCTCGAAAAGTATCTTTAAAACTAATTAATTAACTAGTTATACATAAATATTGATTTGATTAAAGATTCCATGTATTGTCAGTTTCAATCCATCCAGTTTAAGAAAATTTAACTTCAGAGAACTCTCATTGGACATTAGTATTTTTACGTAAACATTTTATAACTTCACGGTGGAAAACTCGGCGTGTGTGGCTGGTGAATAATTACAGCACCTTAAATAAAATTTGAGGCTTACGATGCTCGAGAAGTTGGATGTAGCGTAGCTTCAACCCTGCGTTTGAACATACAACATCCTAAAATAAAGTTTAATAATGTAAGCAGATAGTAAACATTAAATAATATATTCCACCATCACCTGTGCATCCGCAGATCTTTCTTCCTTACACATTTCTTTCAAGAAATCGTCCAAGTTGCCGTTAGAGAACTTTGAACCCTCACATTCTTCCATTGCAGCAGGAAACTTAAGGAAAAAATACTTTCTGTTAGATCAACTTTGATATTACATTCTACGGTTTTATTTTAATAACATTTAATTAACAATAAACTGGATATGTTTATTTAGACATAAGCTACTGCTTATAAACTGAAAGTATGCAACATTCTTGAAACAGAGACGAAGAATGGAAACATAAATAAAACAGGGAAAATGAATTTAAAACCACATCGTTCTAGATCTGTGAATTATGTCTAAATATAACCCTGTGATAAAGTACTCACCAATACTTTTGGTGTAGTTTACGGAACAATTTGTGTATCAAGAAGACATTTCACTGAAGAGAAGATTGGTTAAAGTTTGGACATTCACACTAACAAAACATAATACTACAAACACCTACCCATTCGTTCTTTCCTTTAAAAATATTACTGAAGCAACTTTTCACCGAATTCGCTTTTTCAGGATTCTCTTCATCTATCTCTGTATAAAACAAAATCATATTTGATTTACCTAGATAAAATATTTTTTCGTGTTACGAATCAGATTTCATAGAAACACTTTATCAAAGAAAATGAAGTTGCCTTATTTTCTTCATATAATATATCACAAAATTGAGGTGTGTATAAAAGTATATACATTCAATGAAATTATACCAGAAATTCATGTATAATCAATCGATGTGAAAGATATTTGATGAAATGTTAAAAACTCTCAAGTTCGTAGAGCCATTGAAAATTTCCTCAGTACTAATGAGATAATTGAGTCATTTTGTTAAGCATAGTATTGCAGTTGTGTATCTAATGAAGTACATATATACATAATGCTTTAAAATATTTACTATAGTTTTCTAATAATACGATTACTTAATATTTTACACGTCAATAAAGTTTAAAAATAAACTTACTACACAACATTTGCCATCCTATGTCTATAGCGTTGCCTTTCGTCATCGTCAGGCTTACGAGCACAACAAGAGCTGCAAATAAAACTTTCATGTTGAGAATGTTACTGTTTTCATAAACATTTCCGCTTCGAAAGCCCTTTTTATATCATTTACCCAACATTTTTCAGCCAGTAATTTAAACTAATTTCTTGTTATCTTAAAATTAACAGCTTAGCTTAGTGTTTTCACCAACCATTGCAAACCTCTTTTCGGATTGGACAAATCGCTCATGTTAGCAACCAATCATACCAAACACAGACACCTCCTTCCATAGACTAAGATCACGTGACTGAAATATGTTCGTCTACAGTTTCATTCCTTGTAGAAGCTATACAGTGTTATAGAGCGTTATACTTATTACAGGAGTTGTTTGTAGATACATCCACTAGAATTGTGTGTAGTTGAAGCTCAAGAATTATATAAAGATGTTAAAGTAGAACATAACTAAAATGTTTGCTGATCAATAAGTAGTTTAAACTACTAAACAACTCTGAATTATATCGACAGTGTGTAAGTGATCAGACGAAATAAATCAAAATGTCTCGGAAATGACTGTGTCTTTAGAGAGTAAGGCTGGGTATTGCCTAGTAGCTTGTGTACCAAAAGGATCCAAGGTTAGAGCAGTGACGCCGTTGAATACATTTCGCACTTTCAGCTGCTGAAGTATTATAAAAGTAACAGTCAATTCCCTTATTCGATTCAAAACAATAGAATAAAGCCCAGAGCTGTTGATTGGCCGACCTACCACTGGTTAGTAATTCAAAATTAATGTTAACTATGCTTGAGCCTCATGTGTCTAAAACTTTGCGCCCCCCTGGTGGCTCATGGGTAAGTTTGCGGGCTCATATCAATAAAAAGAGTTTCGATACTCGTAGTGGGCACAGAATAGATAGCCCCTTATGCAGTTTTATGCTTAAAAACAAATACGAGATATCTATACTCGTTAAAGTAATTATATATATATATATATATCGTATGCACGCAAATTGACGTTTTCGTTGTATAAAATTTAGGTATTTTCTAGCGTATAGCCTGTCAAAAATGACGGGGAAAGTACTACCCCCCCCCCCCCAATAGTCGCAATCATTAAGACATGCTCATAGTTAAGCATTTGGGTGTAATTATGATTTTCAACCACGAGCCAACACTTAAAACATAATTAGAAAAATTATAAATTAGTTAACTCAAGCATGATAGTGATCGATAGTATGTTTTACTATTTTAAAGAAATTTCGGTGAAACGTTTTTCAATCAATGTTTTAGTATAAATGTTGTATTCATATTATAGTGGCAAACGGCATCAAATAACATAATAACGTTTCTTCCATCTTAGCTATCCAAGTCACAAATACCGCGTGTGCCGGGGTTTACTCACACCACCGAATGTGACATTACTCTTTAATGTATTTGGCTAGGTATTTATAAAATCAAACTGTAGGCTAACATATACAAATGTCAAACAGTAATATTTGTATGTGTTTCAAGAGTTATACTTGCTTCATCAGTTACTCTGATAAATTTACGAGTATGATTCCATCACTCGATATCGGTTACAAATATAAACCGCATAAAAACTATAATATTAACCTGTGGACTTGTAACCTACATTTACAAGGCCACTATAATACAAATTTAATGTCTGAACTATTATATTGTACTTTTTCGTCTAAGGATCACTGCCACTTTAATGCAAATCTAATTTTTTTTAACCAAGTTACAAACGGTAATTAGTAAGCTTACTTACTTACGTGCTCTAATGTGAATCAATGCCAAATTTGGGTTTCGCTTTCGGGGAATCCCTGTAATAGTGTTTTCGCAAAACACCGAAGCCCATTAAAATTAAGAAAACGGT